TGAACCAAGACAGTTGAGAATCGAGAACCTCAAGAATCAAGAGCAACGAGATTCAAGAGAAGCAAGAATTAAGAATCAAAAGAATGACATATCAAATGGAACAAGAAACATTAGAAACAGAAAATAAGTGATGAAAGCATATTTAAAATCAGGAGAACCATTATAGGAGAATACAAAATCATATGAATCAATTTTTAAGTGACTTAAGTTCTAAATAATCAAGATAGTAAAGGATGAATAAGGATAATCAAGAATCAAGAGAATCAGAATAACCAAGAATCAAGATAACTAAGAATCAGGATAACCAAGAATTAAGAGAGAATGAAGAGATTAAAAATAATCAGGACAATCAATGATCGAGATAATGAATTACCATGAGAATCTTGAATCAGGAAAATGAAGAATCAAGAGAATGACATGTAACATGAAACAATAATCAGGAGAATGCAAAATCAATATAACAATGAAGCAAGTGAGTCAAGCATTTATAATATCTAGTGAATAAAGAATCAAGAAAATCAGGATAATCAATAATCAAGAGATTGAAAATGAATCAGGAGACTCAAGAACAAGCGAATCAATCATCTTAAGAATTAAAAGGGATAAGAATAAATAAATAAATAGATGCCATCAGTTGAACGAATACAATCGAGAATCATGAATCAAGAGACGCGAGATTTAAGAGAAACAAGAATAAGATATCAGGAAAACCATGTCAGGAGAATCAAAAATCAAGTGAATTAAATATCAAGTAAATCAAGTTCCAATGAATCACGAAAATCATAAGAATCAAGAGTATCAGGAGAACCAAGGCAATCGAGAATCACGAATCAAGAGATGGGAGATTCAAGAGAACCATGAGTCAGTAGAATCAAGTGACAATGCATCAATCAAATAAAATTAATAAAATATCAAGAGAATCTTTTCATTAGAATCACAAATCAAGTGAATCAAGTTCCAAAGAATCTAGATAATCAGAAAAATTTAAGTAAAGCTGGAGAATCAATAGTCAAGATAATGAATTATCATGAGAATCAAGAGTAGAATCGAAAATCAAATGAACCAACCATCATAAGAATCAAGAGAGTAAAGAATAAATATTCAATATATTCAGCTGTACCAAGACAATCGAGAAGCAAGAATCAACAGACGGGAGGTTCAAGAGAAACAATAATCAGTAGAATCAATAATCAAGTGAATCATGCATCTATCAAATAATGTGAATAAGATATCAGGAGAATCAAAAACCAACTGAATCATACTATTAAGTGAATCAAGTTCCAAAGAATCAAGAGAATCAAGATAATCAGGAAAGGCCAGAATCAAGAGAACAAAAATAATCAAGAGGATGAAGAGATTAAAATGAAGCAGGAGATTCAAGATAATGAATTGCCAATCATGAATCAGGAGAATTAAAAATGAAGTGAATCAAGCATGTTAGGAATCAAAAGAGTCATGAATAAATAATCTATATAATCAACTAAACCAAGAAAATCAATAATCAATCATCAAGAGACGTGAGATTCAAGAGAAACAAGAATCATTAGAATGAAGAATTAAGTGAATCGTGCATCAATCAAATAAAGTGAATAAGATATCAGGCGAATCATTTCATAACAATAAAAAAAATCAAGTGAATTACATATAAAGTGAATCAAGTTCCAAATAATCAAGAAAATCAGAAGAATCCAGAGTATCAGAAGAAATCAGAATCAGAATCAGAAATCAGAGTCAAGAAAAAAAATAATCAATAGAATCAGCTGAACCAAGACATTTGAGAAGCCAGAACAAAGAGATGGAAGATTCAAGAGAAACTAGAATCAGTACAATCAAGAATAAAGTTAATCATATATCGATCCAATGAAGTGAATAAGGTATCAGGAGAATCATTTCACGAGAATCAAGATTCAATTCCAAAGAATCAAGAGAATCAAGGGATCTGGCTTATCCTCAAGAGAATCAAGTCAATAAATCAAGCTAAAATTTTCCAGGGAATCAAATCCCAAGCCGGATTTGACATATAATGTAATGAGTTTTATGTTAGTAAGTATGGTGAATTTTGAGTTTCGTTAAAAATTAACCTCAGATTCAGAAGGTACAGTATTGGTACACTACATTGGTGAAGGTTTTGATAAATCACCCGTCTATTCAGCAGGATATTCAAGACAATAAAGATAATCAAGAGAGTCCGGAGATTGAATTATCAGTGAATTAAGAATCATGATAGTCAGTAGTATCAAAAGAACCAAATATCATAAATCAGGATAATCAAGAGAACCAAGAGTGTTAAAATAATCAATAGAATCAAGAGAACTAAGAGAATCAGGACAGTCATGAGAACCAATTGAATCGTTATTCAAGAATATCAAAAATTAAGAGACTCAAGAATCAAGAAAATCCAAGAACTAAGGGATTCAATAATCAAGGTAAATAACCACTGTTATCATTCAACCAATATCATTTCCAAATCATTCGTTTTTAAGCAAAATCGCTTCCCCTACCATAAATCCAGAGTCACCTGCTTTGACATCCGCTACCGTAGTGTTTTGCTGGTCCAAAATAAAACAGGAATTGCGTATCCTCGCAGCGAGTACCGTATCGAATGTATAAGCAATTTTATGCTTCGTGAGACACACATTTTATTATTTTCATGTTCCCATCGTTCGTCCTGCCAACGGGAATGTTGACATCGTGCTTGACATACCGAGCTGAACATTGTATCCCGTCACAATATGGAACAGTTCGTAGCCCTTTCCTCTACTCGAATTCCCTTCGGTATCGGCGTGAGTTGTAGTATCATGGATTATTTATATGGAAATGGAATACGGGAACCAGTTACTGCGTGACAGCACTCAATTCATCTCGATGGGAATAAAGTCATCAACCGGTTCCGGTGCTCGGAATTTGTTGACGGGAAGAAGAACTTCAAGGTTGAGTCGAATGAATAGCTTGAAGGCACCGAGTCGAAGAAAAACGATCAAGAAGGGACTCGTTAATCGTGGCAAGATGGCTACCCAGCTCATGGATTTTGAATCAACCTACACAGCCCGGCAGCGTGGAATGTGACAAAGCGTTGAAAAGCTTCGGGGGAAAGGATCCTTCCAGGAAAAGACAGGCTAACAGGGGCAGTGGGTACGGGAATTTCTTCTTACATCATCGTAGGCCCATTTCCACTTTGCCGGTTCCATTGTCGAGCGGGCAGAATGGGTAAAAGATTTCTACAGTTGAGTAGAGTTGGTGGGATTTTTTCATGCATCATCGGACGGGATCAACTGTCAGAACTACCAACGAAGCTGGAGTGACCTCTTTTCAAGTTTTCCGCCGGTTCCGAGGCGATATGGATGTTGAAGGCTCATTTTTCCAACTCACTCTAACTGTGCTGCAGCAGTAGGCAAAAATGTAATAAATTTTACTTAGAGATGACGTAAATGGCCACGCCATCCCACGGAACATAATGGCTGCCGTGGGCCAAAGTTGGATGACAGTGAGAAATTCAGCGTGGCATTACATTTCCGCTAGCTTTTGTTGTTGTTGTGATGAGTTTATTGTAATGGATCTGTTCACATGCTTTGACTGCCAGATATGCGCCTTCATGGGAAACCGGGAATGTTAATAACTGCAGTATCATAATTTTCTGCGATGAGAAAGCAGTCACGCTTACCACTCAACCACCAGCTCTACCGTGTTTGCTCCTCTATACAGTGCACATTTTCTTCGTGTCACTATGTCAAGTTACCATTAATTTGAAGAGCACTTGAAGCGTTCTTGTTTCATAATATCCATGAACAAATAACATTTTGTTTATTAAACACCGGCTCACCTTGAAGTTATTTTTCCTCTTAAATCCTTCCACCTACAACCGCACTCGTATGAATCCATTGTTCGCAAATGGTGAAAATGCTTGAGCTGCAATCACTTTCGATGAGAAATTTCAATTGAAACAGTGCAGAGAGTGTGCCATTCGATAATGCTTCACTTCTATCAGCACACACACACAGTCCATGTAGCGCAGTAAGTATACCGAGGGTTGCTGCACGTGCCTATTCAGACTTATGAAGGACCAAACACTAGCAACATCCATACAAGCCACTTTCCCGCACGTCTAATGTAACGAACGGGGTTCGGAAGCTAATAATAAATCAAAGAACATTTGCAATCTCTATCACTTACTCCCACTCAACATGGTGTGCTTGGAGTGCCAAAGCTCCGATACAACTAGCTACTACGGAAAACGGCGATGATGACGATGTTGAACGATCTACTGATGCTTCTGTACGGTATCGTTCATTGCAAGCAGTGAAAATCAATTTATATCCTTCCACTCAACAAGTAGCCATCATCATCATCATCAACAACACGGGCGAGTTTCATTTATGCCGGAGGACGGACAACTTTGAAGTGGTTTCAATTTAAAGTGGGATCTTCGACTTGTTGAGTGATTGTAGAACGGATGCTGCGAAGCAATATTGGAGCTTGTTGCTTGTTTTGAATATCTGTATGACTTACAGGCTTGTGATGGCACTCGGGTGCCACTGAGTGTCAGAATGAGACACGTTTTATTGGAAGATTTTTAAGGGTTTAAATATTGACTCCTTTCCTTTCGTTCAACCTGTTTTAGGACCTAAGAAACTGGGTTACACAGTTCGAAATATAGTGATTGTTCGACACTGGGATGTTATTGGATGTTGCGCTGAGAAGGAGAGTGCCATGGATTGCTCCCTTCGTTGGATTGGTTGTGCACACCGATTCTCTACTTCTACAATGATTTTGGACAGTAACTGGTTTTGGACATACTGACAGATGCTGACACGGTTGTGCCAGGCTTTACAGGACGATACTGATATTTATTTCAGGACTGGACAGGACATCATTATGGACGTTTAACATGCTTGACTGACTGGACGACATTACTGATAACTGGACTGGTTGAACTGGTTTGTGGATCCCGAGTTGTTCGAATAATGAACGGAAGCGCGCCGAAGCGCTGAAGCGAAGGAGTTTCAATTCTCCTCAGAAGTGGGCACAGCTTGGTTGTCCCGAATGGGAAGGACGCAAATCTTTGTGATAGCTCTCCGGAAAAGACCGTCCTTCGTTCTCACGGTCACTACACGGATATTCCCATCGGAACCCGCGTGAACCTCTACTACTCGTCCCAACTTCCATTTCATCGGTGGAAGATTGTCCTCTTTCACGAGAACCATTGTATCTACGGAGATGTTATTGCGTCGACGAGTCCACTTGGTTCGGTTATGGAGATCGGACAGGTATTGCGAGGACCATTTATTCCATATCTGCTGCACGAAGTCTTGTGATTTTTGCCACAGTGAAAGACGATTCTCCGGAATATGACTGAGGTCCGGTTCTGGAACAGCTGTTAGCGGTCGCTGAAACAGAAAATGACCAGGCGTCAATGCTTCGAAATCCGTTGGGTCATTGCTGATCGGCGTCAACGGACGGGAGTTGAGGATCGCTTCCACTTGAACTATCACCGTTTGCATTTCATCGTGCAATAACGTTCTGGATCCGATGGTGCGTTTGAAGTGGCTTTTGAAGGATTTTACGGCAGCTTCCCAAAGGCCACCGAAATTGGGCGAACGTGCTGGGATGAATCGAAATTCTATCTCGTCTTCTTCAGCTTCATTTACGATCGACTGCTGGAACTACTGGTTACGGAATAATTCGTGTAGTTCGTCGAGTTTGCACCTTGCTCCGACGAAGTTGAGAGCGTTGTCACACATTACCAGAGTTGGTTTGCCTCTTCGTGCGGCGAAACGCTTGAATGCTGCGAGGAAGGCTTCGCTTGTTAAATCTCCCACCAGCTCCAGATGAACAGCCTTCGTGACCAAGCAGACGAAGATTGCTACGAAATATTTACGCGGAGTTGTTCGATAGGCAACCAGAAAAGGTCCACAGTAATCGACACCAACTTTCAGGAACGGTGGCGCGGGTGTAACTCGTTCCGACGGAAAATCTGCCATCAGCTGATCCAACACTTTCGGTCTGCATGGGAAGCACGGCACGCATTCGTTGATTACGGTGTTGGCTAATCTTCTGATCTGCGTGGGCCAGTACTTCTCCCGTACTCTACTTATGAGAAGCTGTTGCCCAGCGTGGAACAATTTCTGGTGGTAGTGTATGACTACTAGTTTGCTCAGGGGATGATGATAGCTGAGAATCGCTGGATGCTTGCGACTCGCTGGAATAGGTGCCTTAGATAGCCGACCACCTACGTACAGTACCCCATCAACGAGAATTGGTGTGAGTCTGTTGATCGATGACGACGGCTTGACTTGATTTCCGCTCTGGAGTGCAGAAATCTCCTCCGGAAACGATTCCCTCTGAGACAAACGGATTAGTGATAGCATAGCTTCTTGGAGGTCAGCGTGACTGAGATACCCATTGCGTCTTTCTTCGCGATGGTGACAGTTGTGGATGAAGCGACGAATCCATGCAACTTTACGGATCAGCGTAGATAGAGAGGAATGAAGTGAAAAGATGTCGCTGTGTGGCTTGGACTGTGCTGGAATTGCGAGACTGAGATACCCATTGCGTCTTTCTTCGCGATGGTGACAGTTGTGGATGAAGCGACGAATCCATGCAACTTTACGGATCAGCGTAGATAGAGAGGAATGAAGTGAAAAGATGTCGCTGTGTGGCTTGGACTGTGCTGGAATTGCGACTGCACTTCGTTCTTCTAGCAATGATTGCTCGAAATCTTCCTCAGGACTTCCCACCCGCCAGGTGCTGCTGTCTCGACGCAGCCATGGTGGACCTTCAAACCAAATCGTGCTGTACTGAAGCTGAGCTGGTATCATCCCTCGTGGCACGATGTCAGCTGGGTTCTCCAAGCCAGCGACATGATTCCAATCGAAACCCTTCGTAATGTGCTGAATCTCGGACACGCGATTCGCTACGAACATCTGCCACCTCGATGGCAGCGAAGATAACCAATGCATTACGATTGTCGAGTCTGTCCAGAAGCTTGCGGTGTGCGGAATACGAATGCTGTGCTTGACCTTCTAGTACAGATGACTGAGGAGCAGTGTGGATGACAACTCGAGGTGAGGGGTGGTTAACTTCTTCTTGTTGCGCTTGAGATCCTCCAGTGGTGCTACTCTCGATTTGGAAATCAGCAGCCGAACTTCTACTGAGCCATCCGACAGTGTACAACGCATGTAGAGGCATGCACCGTATGCCTTGTCTGATGCGTCACAGAAACCGTGCAACTCGACCGAAATTGCATCAGATGTGTATCGTATCCACCGAGGAATTGAAAACGACGAGAGGGCTGTCAAATTCATCCTATACTCCTGCCAAAAGTTCTGCATCGCTTCGGGCAGTGGATCATCTCAACCGCACTGCTGCTTCCACAATGCTTGGAGAAATATCTTGGCAATGACGACAACTGGACCCATCAATCCTAACGGGTCAAACAGGCGAGCTGCTTCTGTAACCCCAAAGTTTTCACTGGTGAAGTTGAGGAATCAAGCTCTAAAGTGGCACGATCATCGATGAGATCGGATGGCAATTCGACTAACAATTCCTTGCAGTTGGAGTTCCACTTTCGCAGGTTGAATCCACCTGATGAAGTTAGCGTGATCATTTCCTTTGCCAGCTGCTTCGCTGGCAAAGGAAATGATCACGCTAACTTCATCGTCGACGTTGACCACTCCAGTCAGCATGTCATCGACGTAAAAATCTTCCTTCAACACCTTAGCTGCGCGAGGATAAGCGAGAGCTCCTTCTTCTGCCAGTCGCTGTAAGCACTTTGTCGCCAAGTATGGTGCAGATGCAGTCCCGTAAGTGACAGTTGCTAACTCGTACGTTCGGATCGGTTCGTCAGGGGAATCTCGGTAGACGATCCGCTGTAGGCATCGGTCGAGTAGATAGATGAGTATCATCCGATACATTTTTTCCACATCCGCTACAATGGCAATGCGGAACAAACAGAATCGGAGTGTGGTGGCGATCAAATCCTCCTGAACTACAGGTCCAACCATTAGCGCATCGTTGAGCGATACACCGCTGCTGGTCTTACAGGACGCGTCGAAAACGACACGTAGCTTCGTTGTTGTACTATCCAGTTTGAAAACTGCATGGTGGGGAAGATAGTACACGGGAAACTGCTCTTCGACGTCCGGAACTTGCACCATGTGACCAAGTCGCTCGCACTCGTGGATGAAATCTGCGTACGCTGCCTTCAACTCTGGATTCAACTGGAACCGCCTCTCCAAGCCCAGAAATCTCCTTGTCGCTATGTTTCTGGACTCGCCGAGCTGATTGATGATGAATTCACGCTTTGGAAGTGCGACGATAAATCTGCCTGCATCATCACGAGTGGTTGTTTGATCGAAGAATACTTCACACGCCGTCTCCTCTACCGATTGACTACTACTGGAACGACAGGTTTCTATCTCCCAGAACTTCGTCAACTGTTCTTGCAGGTTTGCAAGCGTGCACGAATACGACAATGTGCGATGCATCGTGCCTGGTTGATCGGCTGCTCGACCGGAAACCACCCATCCAAAGACTGTATTTTGCAGTGTAGGGCCTTCATCTCCAACCTTCTCACGACCGTCAGAGAGCAGATTGAAGTAGTGTTCTGCTCCGATTATCAGATCAATGCGACCAGGTTCGTGGAACTGGGGATCCGCAAAGCTGATGTTAGTCGGGAGCGTCCAGTGGTTCACGTTGATTCTTCGTGCAGGCAAGGTTGCCGTTAACTCCGGCAAAACGTAGAAATTCATCTCCTCACGGTACGATGATATTTCCTGAGAGCGAGGTAGAACTGCTGCCTTAACTACCTTCCGCGCTACGACGACTGAACCACCGATTCCTTGGACTGACAGGTGTTCAGGTGAAGCCCGAAGCTTGAGTTTACTGGAGAAGTTCGTCGTCATGAAGCAGAATTGCGAGCACGAATCTAGTAACGCTCGAGCTAGTCGTGAGTTACCGTAACTTTAACACACACAATGGCGGTGGACAGTAGAATATCTTGTGTGGATAGTGTATTGGTTGGAAGCGCGATAGTGTTCTGGGTTGTGCATGGTTGGTTTGTGGTGGACAGTGGTGCAGTGTTATGCGAGTGTAATACGGGAAGAGAACTTGTAGACTGGTGAGCGCTGTGAGCGTGTTTTTGTTGGTTCTGGTTTGGTATTTGTGTCTGTGATTGTTGCTGATTACCAGCTGGAGGTCTACTTTGCTCTTGTGGGACGGAGGATGTATTTCTAATAGCGCTTGACTGCTGTGATTCTGGGTGCAACAGGGAGTGATGCTTCTGATTACAGTGGTGGCACACGCCCTTGCTGCAAAATCGTGCCTGATGTCCTGGCGATAGACAGTTCAAGCAGAGTCTGCCTCTTTTCACAGCATCACTGCGTTCATGTACCTTCAGCTTCAAAAATTTCACGCATCGAAAAGCGGAATGAAATCCGTCCCCACAAAACGGACACTTGTTCGATGACTTGACTGCTGAGTTGCTGATGGACGGCTTCGATCGTTTCTCTGGTATCGGCGTAGATTTGGCAGGAGCGACGGACTGCAACACGGAGCAATGATCTCGTAGGAAGTGGATGAGGTTTTCATACTTCGGCACCTCCTTCGAATTATGATGTGCTTCCCAGTTCCGAAGCGTTGCTGAGTCCAAACGAGAACACACCATGTGAACCAGAATGGTGCTCCAGTCATTGGTCTTTTCTCCTACCTTCTCCAACATCAGCAGGTTTTTGTCGAATTCGCTGATAAGACGATTAAGCGACTCGTAACTCTCCCTCCTGGTTGGCTCCACAGCAAAAAGTGCATCGAGATGAGCCTTGACGATCAGTTTTTTGTTTTCGTACCGTTTCTCCAGCGTTTCCCAGGCAACTGCGCAATTTACGTCAGACATTTCCACCGAGTTGATTTCCTGTAACGCTTCTTCATTCAACGACGATCGAAGGTACGTAAACTTGTCCATATCCGTTAGCTGTGGATTATTATGGATTAAGCTACGGAATGTATCTCGGAACGTTACCCATTCCTTGAGCGGTCCACTAAAGGTTGGCAAGCGAATCTCGGGAAGCTTAACACGTGATAATCCTGCACCGGCACCGTGTGCGACTGGTTGAGTGTTAGCCGTAGGATCTACCAGCTTCGGTTGAAGACTCATCAGAATGGCCTTGAGGGTACAGTACTTGTCTTCAGCATCCATGATGATCCTCGCATTTTCTGCATCTTTCTTGGGATCCATTGCAGCATCTTCTTCATCGTCGTCAACATCATCCGTCAGTAGGTCGATCTTCCTACGGACGTTGTGGAATTCCTTGAAGGCAATTTCCAGTCGCTCCAACCGAACATTCACTTGCACACTATGCACTTCAAAATCGAATCCTTCAACGAACAATTTCACTGAATCAAATGTCTTCAAGATGTTCCGTTCTTGTTTCACCAAGTCACGCAATTCATTAGCCATTTCCACTGATAGTTAATGTTCACTCACAATGTCACAAAAAGTTCAAACTGTTCACACACAGAAATATTTAACACTGCACTGTAATTCACTCCACTGTGCACCCGTACCCGTAATCGAATTATCGACTCGACGTCCCACGCGACCCCGCGGTTGACAGAGAGAGGGGGAGCAAAGCAAAACCATCAACAGTAGCGAAAGAATGCAACCAAGCAGATAACCATAAACCAGTGAAAAGCCAGCAGAAATTTAAGACCAACCGCAATAGAAAACACAGAGGCTAAATGGATATCTACAATTCCCGTATGGGATGAAAAATACTCGCATGCATTTAGAGGATCGATTTATTCAGCACCACCTTTTATTCACTGCAATACACTTTCCCACCGGTGACTCGCATGCATAGAGTCCACCATCAAACCTTTTACACATGCAATCTACTTCCCCGTTTATCCGATGGCGCCTATCGACCCTTTCCGCTGTTCTTTAGCTGCTGCTACGATCAGCTGATATGGAGAAGACTGAACTGGAACAAATCAGCTGTCTGCCTCCAGCGATGGTGGTGATCGAGGTCGGTGAACGATGGCTACAGGCCACTGCACTGCACTAAGCCGCTTCGATGGCTATTTTTCACAATGTCTTTTCACAGGGAGTCTTATTGTTCATATCACTGGTCACTTTTTCAGTCCAAAAGTCCCCGAAATCCGGCTCGAAGGACCAAAAATGTTCGACACTGGGGTGGACTGTATCACCGGACGGATTTCGGTACTTTTGTGGAATGCACACGCGACGATTATTAACATAAAACACTTTTATTGTGGTCAAAAAATACCCAACTGTTCGGACACTGTTTATTTGTTTGTCTTTCGATAGACGGACAGAGTGCTTCTTCTGCACGCGAGGATGATTTATTAACTACTCAATACTGATCGGTGATCTTCTCCTACCTACTGTTTGCGATCGTGTAGTGGATGAGAGAAAATGAGAGTGAGTGCCTATTGTTTGTGTGTAGTGTGATATTAGGGTGTGATAACAGAGATAGTGTGCTTATGTGCTATGGGAAACGAGCTGATTGTTGTATAGCTGTAAAACAAATTAGGATAGGGTGACCAACATCTTATTTTGTGCCAACAGTGATATATAACATATACGCAGTTAATTGGATGCAAACTCTACTGAGGAAAAAAGCTTTTCAAAATTATACGACCACTTTCGTTTTGTCATGAATCATTGATAAAAAACCACAACAAATTTAATAATCGCCACCAGAACGGATAGTTGTCTAATAGATACGATTCGGCCTACAAAAGAACAATTCCTTTAAATAAATATAAGTTTGCAAATTAAACTGGTAAATCAACAGTAACAGCTCTTTATACGCTGGTTACAAAACTAGAAAAATCTTTTGAATCAATAAAAAATTTCCCTAGTAGCATTGATATGGACGGAGCATTTGATAATGCATCTTATCACTCAATGAAAAACGCTATGATGAAACAAGAGTTCGAT